TAAAAAGTGTATTATTTTTATTATCTAGATATTATTGACATTATTATCATATATGTTTTAGCTTTTATTTCTTTAAGCAAATTAATAAAATTAAACTGTTTTATTTAGCTAATTTTGTAAATACATATTTGGTAATGAAATCATTCCCATTATTTATACCATTGTAAATTTTTTGACTATTTTAAGTAGGTATACCTACTTAAAATACATATATTGTTTGGTTTAATGCGCTAATAGTATATTATAGTCGTCGCGGCGAATGTTTCAAATTTCTTCAACAATGTCGAATGTCAAAAACTTTTTTAGTACTTCTTTGATTCTTTATTATTTAACCCCCACTGATAGTACAAATTATTTACAGTTTAAATCATTTTGATTTTTTTTTATTTGACAATATTCATTTCATTTAGCTTTGGTTTCAAAAATCTCATTATGCAAGACTTTTTTAAATGAATACTGCAAATTGGTATTTGCAATCATGTTTTTCTTAGTTTGGCTAGATTAATGAACAAAGTTTTGATTTAAAGAATGTTGCTTGATTTTTATGAAAGTAATCAGAAATGCAGATATTCTAGTTAATTAAAGGAAACAATGTAAAACCTTAACATACATCTGAAAATAGACGTTGTTCGTTAATTCGCTTAGGAGCTGCAGTTCATGAGTGAGCGAAAAGAAAAAATGGTGCAGAACGGCCATTCTCCATTCAAAATGCCGTATAAATTTGAATCAATCAAACGAACACTGCAAAACGATTCGAAAAATTCACTTATGTTCGTTCGCCGGCCGACTTAAATCCACCAACAACGGACTTCTACGAAACCGTCGCGAGATCTCGCTGCTATTTTAGTAGAGAATTGAATAGTAAAACGTTCCACAAGGAAGAATGCTGCTGCCTCGCTCCGCTAGGCTCCTAAATTAAACCGGCAGGCAGTTATTTTAAAATAGCAGACGCATGTTAGTCCTGTTTATGAATGTACGTAAAGTATTTATACCAAATTTAGAACGTAATGACCAGGCTGGCTGCACATTTATCAAACGACCGCGGCACTCTCTCGCTATATAAATAATACCTAGTATCTGAATTTATTATTTACAGTAGCTATAAAATATCAAGTGTGTAACTAAAGTACATTTAAAGCGTTGTAATCGTAACGAACAAGCGAGAGAGTTTAATTTATATTAAATATCAATTTTACATTATAACGTATACGTTGCCATCTGTAAGCTTTAAAAAAATTAAACTAACATTTAATATACATTGTTGCTAGCAGTAAAAATGTTTACATGAAGCATCGGAGGGTAATAGGGCCTAGAACCAATCAAATATAAACTATATTCTTAATAATTCTTTTTATATGACTTAACACTTTAAAAAGGTGCGGAGCCTGTTACTACTTTAACGTAATTTTAAAAATATCATTTTTGCTGATTAAACTTTAAATGCATTAAAAAAATTATTTCATCTTAAGCTTTCTACAATTTACTAAACTTTATTATTGTCAACACGTACTACTAAAGTGATTGACTATAGCCTAGGCTGTAAATATATATTGTGTATACGACATTTTATACACGAATTTAATTTAGGCACGAGCGAGCTTGCGATCGAGTGCTTAAATTAATGAGTGTATAGAAAAGTTTATAAACGAGGTGCATACTATACTTTTTCTTCGACAAATACTTATTATTATCTTAAAATGATTTAAATAAAAAATTTGTATAGAGCGCCATCTATGAAACAATAGGGGAATCTGTGTGTCACCGTCAAATGTCACATTTTTTATTTTATAAACACAGATTATAAAGGTTATAAATCGAAATGTATTTCTTGAGAATTGACAGTTTTTCACAGTGAAAGTAAAGAAAATGTTTTATGAGGACTTCACAGTGGAGTCCGTGCCCGAATTTAAGTTATAGTTTACTGCCGGCGAAATTAAAAGGTCAGTACAATGTTCATATAAACTTTTCAAATATTGGCGTTGAGAAACTATTTAATACTTTAGTATTTTTGTATTGAGATAATAAAATAATTTTCACATTTAGTAATATTTTACAAGAAAGGCACTTTATTTTAACGATTGTATGACATTTGACAACTGTCAACTAACTTAAAACTAACTTCAGCCCGTGACTAAAGCGCCATAAAGCCACAACTTGTCAATGTGTATTTAAAAGGTCACTTAGTGTCATGGAAACATGTACAATAAAGGGCGTTTTAAAGGTGGAAGTAGAAAAAATAATTTAGACAAATAGGGTAAAGTTTTTTTACCTCATAATTTGTAAAAATACCCGTTTGGACCAATAAAAATTGAATTATAGTCATTTCTATCGATATTTAATTAAAAATGATATAAGGCGATTAAAATAAGGTTCCTACTACCCTTTGGTACGTTAAACGCTTTACCATAAAATAGTACATTATCCAACTGTTAGATCCTAACAGGGGGAAAAGCACCTATTTAAAGCTTATAAGCACTGCCGTGTTAGCTGGCGGGGCCTTAGCTGAGGCAGCAGGGGCAGTTAATATGCTTTCTCCGCCGTGTTGTATATACTATTTTTTTCAAGCATTTAATAATTCTGTACTTACTTGCATTGAAATTATCGAGTTTGCGACATTTTATCAGGTTTGACGTTTGATTTATGTTATATTATAGGTTATGTCGGGTTATGTACAAGAATTTATTCTACAGTGACCTGTAAGTTTACATTGTCTTTGCCCAAGCTAAATGAGATAGATCTATAAAACCACTCCCTATGTATTTTCCGTATTTTCGGTATTTTCATTATGGCACGGCGGTGTATAATAATTTGACTTGAACCGCGTACAAATATAAAGTCTTTATATATGGGCTTTTGAGTGTTATAATATAAAAATTGTTAAACGGTTGAAAAAAAAATTTTTTTTCTGACAAACATTTAATTTAAAAAAATTGGCAACTCTGTTACTGATAAGGAAAATATTACATATCTAAAAACGGTTGTTATAGAAACAATTAAAATAAAGCAGGTGAGATTAAAATGGTTGTCAGATAGGTATGTTTTTGACAGTTTAGTTTTCAAAAATGTAAAATAGTTTAAAACATTAAAATAATAATAGGTATAAAACGAGGCACGGTGTTAGCGTGCAATTTGTCTGTATATAATTCTTTTTTTAAAACAGGTAGGTATTTACTTTTTAAGTTAAATTAAAATTTTTATTCTTACAAATCTTAATTTATTTCAGTAGGTATGTAAATAGAATATTTAAAATGATTATAATTTTAGAGTACATACTTTTTTTTAATATCCGGAAACCAAAAATTGATGTCGGTTTTCTTCACCTATTTTATAAAATGCAGGGAATTTTACGAAAAAAATCCCTCTGGATACTAAATCTACTAATGGACCTAAATAGGTATATTTTTCATTTTGATATTATTTTGTGGTGCATAGGTAATTTTATAAAAAAAAACAACCAAAAATTTATGTAGGTTTTCTTTATTTTATAAAAAGCAGGGCATTTAAAAAAAAACATCCGGGTACCAAATCTACTATTGAACCTATTTTGTGGGGCCTAGGTAATTTAAAAAAAAATTATTTCAATGTACCGAGCAATGTACGAAAAACGTGACATTAAGTAATTAAAACGTAGGTAAAAATTTATCTCTCTGATACATTTTATACAATAACCAAAGAAAATTGCACTTTAGCAAATATAAAATATATCATACTTAACGCTTTAATTTATTTTATTGGTACCTTTAATAGGTATAAATCATTTTAAAGCAATTTTCACAGACAGGGAAATCTACATTCTTCTTAAATTTTAATTGTAATATTTATTTCATATAATTAAATAGGACATAATTTTAATATATGTAAGTTAATACAATTTTAAGAATGTGTGAAATGTACAAAAATTTGTAAATACGTACATATATCCCAAGAGTTCAATCATGGAATTTACCTAGGTTAATCTACCCGCATAAGTAAGTAATAGGAACAAAATGTGTGTTGGATTTTTGTATCTTATAGGATATTAATAGTAAGGTTGACCTCCAAGCCCTGAATTAATTTGTATCTACTAAAGATTGTTACCTATATTTTTATTTTAACATGTTTTTATTTTTTTCTAATGTACATAAGATAAACTTGTATTGTTTAACAATACCTATCTATTAACATAACAGGACAATTATAAAGTAATGTAAATGTTGTAATAAATTTATAAATTTATTACAGGAAAAGAAATAATTTAGTAGGTTGAATGGGACTGCCGAAAGTCTCTTGCCAAAAACGATTTCCTTGACCCAAAAATAAGTGTAAATTATGTAAAACCATCCTAGTTACTTCTATGTTCCAATATTATTAATTATATTATATAGGTATAATTATTTGTTATGTAGAATAGTTGCTTATATTTAAAATGTATGAGTTTATTATTAAGAAATAGTAAGAGACAACTAAAATGATAATTGAATATGTTAATATATTTTCTATTATAATAATTATTGTTAAAGATTTATTTATAGGTAGGTATGCATTAGTAAAACATGTAACATAACAATATATAAAATTGAATTTCTCGTTAAAATATTGGTGTTGAAATCGCATTAATTGTATTTATTATAGCTATATCTACTGTATTAGCTGTCAAAACGAACATATGTTTGTAATTTGAATAGTGTGCGGCGCGAGAGTTTTAACAATGTAACAGTACCACAATGCCTGTGCTCATAATTATCTCAGTCACGTGTTCAAAAGTTTGATTATTGTGCGGTTATTCGGCGACGACAGTCAAAAATTATATAAGAATAAAGTCTATTTCATGATAGACTATTAAAAGATTTGTATAAAATTAAAGTAAATAGCGCAAATCCGCGATAAATTAGATAATTGTTGGCAGATGTATATCTGATGTTATTTTTTATAGGAAGGATGGTCGACGGATCGTCCAGCGTGCGCGCGCACTCACTCACGTGCATGCGCTAAGAAACAACAGCACATCGCATAGATAGAGGTTATCTCACCTTTTTCATGATGCCAGTTTTCCTCTTTGAAAACGTAGTGTATCTCCTTAACTTATTTTCGATGTATTCCATTTTGATCTTGACTCTGCCTTTAGTCTTTTTGCCGTTGCTCGGCGGCGACTTCTTCGACTGTAGCGAACTGTAAGTGTCATCGTTGATGTCGTTCACACCGCAGGCCTCCAGGCCCATTCCCTGCTGGGACATCCCCCGGTCGTCATAACAAACATCTGATTTAAGCACCCTCCCGCCACAGGCACTAGACACCATCGTATGTCGCGGCGACAGCTGTTGTAAGCTGGTGGACGGCCGGCCCAGGCCGCCAGGATTCCCGTAAATCTCCGGCGGAGTTTCACCACTTAACAAGTTCATGCTGTACCCCAGGTTAAATCGGGAATCCCTCCCGCCCGGTGGTTCCATTTCGCACCACAGTTTGACAACTAAAAACAACAAGGCACCGCGTCACACTTGTGTGTACTCACTTGTACACAGAATCACAGCTGAGCGCACAATACAACCCAGAAGGAAACTAACTGCGCCGCCCAGCGCGCTCCCGCGGCCAATGCTCGCACTACCGCAATGCGCAGACGCCGAATCACGACCTTCACTCCAGCTCACCATCTCTCTCTTATCCACACCGCAAACCACCTCATTTACTCGAACGTATTTCGTTGATCGGAATCACGTAACTTGACCTAAGTGGCGCGGAGTTTTATTTGGAATAAGCAGTATATTCCAAATATACTTTAAATTTCTTAAACTAACTAAAATAAAACTATCCATAAATAACAACATAAACCCATGGCAAACTTTTATCAGCGCAAATCCCCCGTCGAATTATCAAAAGTTAGCGTCAATTGTGCAAAAGTTAAAAGTGGGATGTAAACAAACACGGTTAGGACTGCCCAATGCCATATTTAGAATCGCTCGTTGCCATATAAGGTCAACTTGTCCTTAAATGGAGAACAGAAATCCCTCCCTCTAAACATCGGCACACGCTGTCAAAGACGTCTGTCATTGCTAAAGCCGCAGAATACACGCGTTAGACCACAACTAAATTGTTTTCCTAAAAAAATGCCCTGCAGACTTTTTTACAGCCACCAAGACCACCGGATCTATAGATTTTCTAAATGTCACCAAGAGACTTATATTTTGTCTATACCTACAAAACATAAAATAAGTAAAACTTTCCTGCTATCTGCAGATAATATATTAATTTAATAATAATTATTGTGTTAAATGTAATAATGATAATAATTATCATATAGATTCAAATAGACAATTATTTAAATTTAATATAATTATTATATTAAATTTAAATAATTGTAAACTAGCAAGAGTCCAAAATTTTGAATTAGTATTTTTTATTGGCCATATTTTAAACTGATCATAACCAACTACTTATTTTTTGGATTCTATACCTACAGGGTTTGTAAGAAATTATCAACATACCAACATTTAAAACTTGTTATTTTTTAATGTAAATACTACTTTTGAAAAATTTTAAAAATGGATCCATTTTTAATTTTTTTTAAAACTTAGTAAGTATTTACATAAAAAAATAACAAGTTTTAAATGTTGGTAAGTTATATTTATGTTGCTAATTTCTTATAAATCGAGTTATAGTGTTTTAATTTTTTTGTTTTATAATACATAGGTACCTAATATAAATTACATAATATGTATGTTATATTATAATCAGTAGGGATGGGATTTTAGTTATTTTACCTTTTTTTAACCGATGTAACTATTTGAAAACCAATAATGCCAAAATGTGTTTTAAAAGATTTTCTTTTATATGAACCTAACTTGTTTTCACCTTTTTTACCTTTTTTGGAGGTTTTTGCTTTTAACTACCTTTTTTATACTTTTGTTAGCTATTTTTTAACTTTTTTTCACCTTTTTTACCTTTTTTGGAGGTTTTTGCTTTAAACTACCTTAGGTAGTACCTTTTTATACTTTTGTTACATATTTTTTAATTTGTCACCTATTTTTACGTATTTTTACTTATTTTATTTTTTTTGTTCTTTTAAAATTTGCTCCAATATTTTATCCAGGGCGTGCAACTCAACGGTATAGAATTTTTTCTTATGGGTACAGACTGTAACAGTACTTATTTTATTTTTTTTGTTCTTTTAAAATTTGCTCCAATATTTTATCCAGGGCGTGCAACTCAACGGTATAGAATTTTTTCTTATGGTTACAGACTGTAACAGTAACTTTCTTTACAGTTACCTTCTTTGTAGTTACTTACTACTAGTGAGCTTATGTTCTGTCATAGAACTTCTGTGTAGTGAGTGTCACTCAGTAAAACACAGTTTATTGCATAGAAATAGTTTATTGTGGGTATGTTCTGTGTTTGGGTATACGGCTAAACAAAATTATAAACGAAACTTAAACTTTTAATGATTTTTTTTACCTAAAATGCTGTTTTTTTAACCTAATATGCTTTTTTTTAGTACCTTTTTAGTTACCTATTTTTCAGTTTTTAGTACCTAAATATCCCATCCCTAATAATCAGCTTCAAAAGACTTTTTGGCAGTACCACGCTATTTGTTTTTATTTAATCCATTCATGTTAAAAAGTGTCAAGTATGATTTTTCTTACGAGACTTTTCTGGCAATAAATTTTGTTTAACACCAAAGAAAATCCTTTTTTTCTTCTTTAACATTAACAGCCGCTTATTGTTAATAAGTAAGTTAAGGACGCCATGGCGAATCGATTTTGACATTAACCCTTCAAACCAATGACTGTGATACCAACTATCTAAAGTAAAATTCGACCAAATTAAATACAAGGTATAAAATTATTTTTTTATAGAATTCCAATTTTCCATTTTTTAATGTTATAATATTATATTAAAGAACTAATTTCATAAGACGTCATTTTGTCGCACGAGGAGCGAGTTTTGTAATGGACGAGTGTGACAAAAAGGTCTTATGACATGAGTTCTTTATGCTATTTTATCTATTCGTAAAAATTCTATAAAAAAATAATTTTATACCTTATATTTAATTTGGTCGAATTTTACTTTAGATAGTTGGTATCACAGTCATTGGTTTGAAGGGTTAATGTCAAAATAGATTCTATTCGATAGAAAAAGTATAGATTATATATAAGTACATATAGGTACTTTGGGTACTAGAACTTAATTTTATAACATTTCAAACATGTATTTTAAAAAATTGGAATTCTATAGAAAAAATATAGAGTAGGTACCTACTACTTATAGTACTTTTATAAAAATTGTTTTCATTAAATTTTTTTATCTTATTTTATTTCCGCCGTTCTGTACTTACATACATTAAAATTATCGAGTTTGCGACATTTTTTAGTTTTGACTATGTTTTATTATAGCCTATAAATTGTTTACAAAAATTTATTCTACAGTGACCCATTTTCTTTCCTGATTTCGAGCTAAACGCGATAGATGGAACTACCCTTTCTATGTAGGTAATTTTAATGTATTTTCATTATTGTACGGCGGTATATACGGTATACCGTATACATATATAGGTATTTGATAGTCTATAGACTATAGCATATATGCTAATATAATATGAAGTTATTTTAACTGCATAGTGGTAGTAATAAGGTAATAATTACATTACACAATTACATTACAACATTTATATAAATAAATTATCCAGGAAAAAAATTAAAAAAACTTTGTTGTACTTATAGTATCCTAACAACGGGATATACTTTATAGTAAACAAAACGCATTATTTATTTTATTTCGCCCGCGCGATTATCTTTGAAAGTGTACAATGTATATATACATTTATCGAAAAACTTACACAGAAAAAAATATCGTACCTGATATTAATGTCCAACGATCATTAAGTGCAAAATCATTACGATAATGTCCTTTTCATAGTATTAATGCAATCAAGTAATTATGATAATGCTTAAAAAATATGAGTTAATGTATTATTGGATTGTCACAATGTCTGCCTGGTCATTATCCTAGTGCAGAATTTTATTATTTTTTAGCCAAAATACATTAAGACAATGATATTTTACATTAATACGATGATTATTTACATTAAATCAATAACCTAGAGTACATTAGTTAATCATTGCTCAGTGATAAAATTAATGTCAAGGCTTAATAGATTAATACTCTAAATGGTATAATTTAATAATATAAAATTATTACATTAATGACTATGTAGACATCAACTTATGTACCTTAGCATGAATATAATGCTCTAACATATTAAATAATACAACAAATCATAACTCTATCGCCAAATACGTTGAGCCAATGTCTAAATACATTAATATTAGGCCCTGTTGTTTCCCACCACCTAAAAATGCAAGTAAGAAAACAATTTAACAACAGTTTAGTATTCCTGTTAATCCTGTTGCGACGTGCTTGCCCCCCCAACCCGATTGTTGTGCGTTTAGGTTTATTATTATATGAAATATAAAAAAGTGCAAGTATTTTTAACCTTTATTTCCCAGAAGAATGTGTCATGGTCTAGTCATACATATATTGAAAAAAACTTTTTTTAAATGAAGCATTCTAATACATTTTCCAAAATCCATGTATTATGTGACTTTTTAGAATGTAAGTAAGACAATGTTAAAAAGTTAAGGTTTATTTATGTTTCATAAATTTTTTGTAATAAAAATAAGGATTTTAAATTACCAAGGGTTTTTATTATTTTTTTATATTAATCTTTAGTTTCATAATATTTACAAAAAGGACTAGAAATATGTAGTTCCAGTTCCAGTTTTGCGGTGGCCCGGACATAAACCCTGTAGAAAATGTTTGGGAACTTCTTTAAAGGGAACTGGCTAAAGAGAACATTACCACATAAGTAATATTAATAGTAATAATTACTAATATATTTTTTTACATATTTCTAACTCTTTTTGTTAACTGATCAACAAAAAAATTGATTTAATGTTAAAACTTAAGGTAAGTGTAATAATTTATCTACATATATACAGGGTATCTCAAAAGTTAAGGACAGCAGAAAAGGGGTGGATAGAGGATGGGATTCTAAGTCGAATGGTCTTTGCCGTTTTTCAATCGACTTAAAATTCCATCCTCTATCCACCCCTTTTCTGCTGTCCTTGACTTTTGAGATACCCTGTATATATATATATATATATATATATTTATATATTTATATATATCGATCCATTCCGGTATACCGATATCGATATATCGATATATCGATTTATCGATATTTTTCCATCCCTTATTTCAGGCCTACTATTAATACTTCTTTGCATTATGATAATGCTAACAGATCATTAATTAATGTATATTAGGTGATTGGGATAATGTTCTTTAATTGTTAATTGATTAAAAATTTATTAATTGGTTGATGTTTACTGGGCCTAGAATTAATGTACTAGGACATTAATCCATGTCAATGGTCATTAATATCAGTACTTTTATT